GGCGTACAAAAAAATTCTACTTCCCCATTGTGGCAAAAAAATTCTACTTTCCCATTGTGGCAAAATGTTTTTTACGGCCGTATTACCCCATACCTTTTAGCAAACTAAACAAAATTAAAAAAATTTTAAAATGTGTCCATATATTTCGTATTCTTATTGGAAAATTCATACTTTCTTACTGTTTTGTTTCTATTGTTGATTTTTTTCAATATTGAATTTCGACGTATTTCAGTAACATTCATATAAATACACGTGTTATACTTTTGTGGTGAATAACGTCGAACGAGCTAGTCGTATTAGACTACCATCCATAACAATGCCATGATTTATTGCATAATTATAATTAAAATATCATATAATTATAAATGAAATTTATTATTTGTCGTTGGCATGAAAAACCGATGCCAATCTATCAAAATATCTATAATCGATCGGAATTTTTGTGCAGGAGCTAGGAGGCTTTGAAACTTACTCAAAAAAATGGGGAGTCTGTTATATGAGGCCAAGCAAGAGCCAAAACTAAAGCAACTGAAATTGCAAAGTGAATAAATGACCTGTATTTTTTTTGAAAATAAAGCTATAGTGAATGTTTATTCATTAAAAACAAGAAAATATAGACGCAAAAATTGTTTTGAAATAAAAAATATACTGAAAACTAAATGACCCAATTTTTGTCTCGTCAAAACTAAATCAACTTTTTGTCTTGTTTCTTATAAATAAGCAAATTTTGCTAGTAATCGACATCCTAACCAAAATATTTTATTACGGCTGCACACCTACGAGGTATTGAATAAATAAAATGCTCAATTTTATCCTTGGATATACTATTCCCTGCATCCTGAAGCATCATTTGGAGTGTAGATCCCAGTTTGTTGTGGTTTAATCCGGTGTGGAGTCCCGCAGGGTTCTGTGCTGGGCCCATTACTTTTTAATATGTTCATTAATGACGTCATGGATCCTGTTACTGCTAGTAATTATAGTCTCTTCTTGTATGCGGATGACATACATGTTTTCTTTAGGAGTGTTGATCTCGCCAGGTTGGAGAATCTGGCTAACACAACGTTGCAATCTCTCTCTATGTGGATCTCTTCCAATGGTCTTGATATAAACTGGGATAAGACTGAAGCTGTTTTGTTCAATTGTTGCTATGACGGTTCTATGCCTAATATTTGCGTTAGTTCCTTTACTATTAATATTGTTGATGAAATGAAGTGCTTGGGTTTAATTATTGATGCCAAACTTAGTTTTTTGACTCACATTGATCTTCTGTTGTCCCGTGTGCGATTCCAGCTTAGGAGGCTTTATAGTGTCCAAGCATATTTGCCTCTTGGCGTTAGGGTGAATTGATGTCCCATGTAAACTATTGTTTGGAGGTAATTTCGGGCTCTAATTCTGGTCATTTGCATCGGCTTCAAAAGGTTGTTAACTCCATTGTTCGTTATGTATATGGTTTGTTGTTAAATTTCTTGGCCTATCCTTTGATAAGTATGTTGAATATCGTATCCTTTTGTGTTATTATAGAATTATGAGAAATGTTTATTTACCACTGTGTAGTAGGTTTGTGATGTGTATCTGAGGTTTTCGGCTGTTGTTGTATCCGAGGTTTTCGTCTGTAATTTCTGAAAGATCATTTGTAGTTAGAGTCGTAAGATTGTGGATCAGCTCCCTTTGAGCCTTCGTAATTTTAACTCTTCCACTTTTGCGTATAGGAGGGAATTGTTTGTGCATTTGTCTCGTATTTGATGAAGTTGACTTTGAAGAAATCGCTGATTGCAGGTTGCATAGTGTTACTTTGCTTTTTTTAATTATTGACTGGGGAGCCATCTTTATTTAAGTTCGTTAGCATTTATATTATAGATTTATACATATACGCTGGTACATATGAAATTTAGGGTCTGTAGTGCTAGTATTGCTCTTGGCCTCGAGAGGGATATATAGTTTATTTTTATGTAGGATTCCTTATGCTTCCTTTCCCCTCCATTTTTTTTTACCGAAAGTTAAGTAAAGTGCAGTGGATTGGGGTTCTTTTCATTTTGGAATCGGTTAAATTTAATTTTGTAGAGTTTTTTTACTGTTACTTATTTTTAATTTATTTAGTTTATTCTTTATTTGGATTTTTTTGTTATATAATTTAATATAAATTATTGGCCATGCTGGCTTTTTTATATTACCTTGGATGAAATAAATGAAATGAAACTGTTTCTATAGGGTAAAGATCTGGGCATTATTAAACCCTGATTATTTACTCCCGCTCACTCATAAAAAATCTCTATTTTTGGAGGTTATTGTCGAGCTGAAACCCAAACAAGAGGTACAACACATTTGTATAAATAATACGATCCATTACTTCATAAAACTCGTAAATATATATAAAAAGAATTTTTTATTAATGTCGTGAGTCTTTATTATTTAACTTTAATTCATCCGAGAGCATAATATTTCTCCACTAAATCAAATTCCAATTAATATGAGCTTTTGCGAAAAGCAATTTGGCTTTCCGATTATTTTAAGAAATAAAATGGCTTTCTTGATAGTTTCCGGACATGTATGCCTACTACCAAAGCTCGCCCACACTCTGGTCTTGAGGTTATATCCAACGATAACCGTCTCACAAATTCCGTTGAACTCTTAAATGGGTATTTTGTACTGCTATGACAACTTGTTGATCAGTACGAACTGGTGTTTTCCACTGCCTCCCCCTGTGATGAACTGTCGCTACTGATATAGTTGCATAAAACCAACTTATAATTGGAGAAATCAAGGGTGTATTTATGGAACATTTTTCCAAAATAATTTGTGTGATAAATTATTTTCACCATCACTGGAAATTAGCTGTTTTTGTTTCTATCCATGATTGTATTTTTTTCTTTGCAGTAAGTCAAAATTTCAAATCAGACACATGTTATTTGATAAAATAATTTTAAAAATTATCTATAAGAATCAGAATATGTGTAGAAACCTAAACATAGAAACCATAACGGTAAAAATAACTAATATTTCAGAGCACATCTGTTTTTACTATAGAGTTGCTTTAGTTTTTGCAAGCAAAAAATTGTGACAATTCCCATAAATTATTATTTATGTCATAATAAATGTAACTTTCATGTTTTTTTCGATGTTTTTTAAGGAAATAAAGTATTCGATTTAAAACTAAAAAACAACACAATATCTTTATTTTTGCAGCATTTTTCAACTTTAGTTGCTTTAGTTTTGGCCACCAGCGTATTTCGAAAATTATGTCAATATTTATAAATAGTCTATAGTCTGTAGATCAATATTGAAGATATTAGGTAGGAAGATTTGCTACTTTTGAAAATGTTGAAAATTGGGAGGTACCGATGTATACCAAAACATGGACCTATAAAAAAACATGGACCTATATATCGGAGTGGGAGCAATCTATTTAGAATAGTGTGAGCTCAATTGTTATTTCGATTTCGAAATCAATATATAATTTTATACGATCAAGTATAAGAGGTCTCTGGTGAATATTTCGAGGTGTTGCAAACGAAATGACACATTTAATAAACACAGCACCTTTTGTTTGAGGGTATAAAAATCGATAATTAAACTATGCAACAAGATTACGGGTATTGGAAACTTTTAGCAAACGAGGGCAAATATGCCAGGTTATTAAGTTATAACGCGAAGGTTTTTTTTTCTTGGTGGTAAATCTGAAGTTTTTGAAGGAAAACTTTATATCTTTGTTGTGCACGCTATCATCATTCTATCTCGAGTTCTTGTGCATCTTGTGCATAAATAAATACCACAAGACAGGGATGTAAGCAGGGGGACGGCCCGAAATGAATTTTTTCACAGTAAATTTATGTTTGCAACAGCGAATTTTTTCATTTTGTACTACCGGATGTAATATTTACATCCTTTGGTGTGGTAGTAGTAGTATAACCCTACTATCGGCTATATATTGACGATTACCATCACAAGTGCGATTTCGTAACATTCGGGATCAATATCTCCGCATTACAAACTCTTGCATACAAATAATAAATGAGAATTACGTAAATCAGTTGAAAATTTATAACTGTGAACCGATTTCAACAGTATTTGTTTATGTCCAGCTTTTAAAAATCCAATGTCCAGATATGGAAAGAGCATTTAAATTTCCTTTCAATGAATCTTGGAAATCCAGATATTATGCCCCCCATTGGGGCTTTCTGATTGTGTAACAATAATTAAATTAATTATGGTTAAATTGTCATAATTAATCGAAATTGTAGAAAAAACAACGTAGATTTACTTTAATTTAAATGGCAAATTTGACATTGCCAAACATTTCGAGTTATTTAGTGATTATATTTTGGCTAGTGTACCTACTATTAACATTACATACATGCGTACATATATTTTATTTACATTTTTTATTTGACGTTTGGATAACAAATATTAAATAATTTATTTTACTCTACTTTCAGGCCTTGTATTGCTGCCTTCCATTGTCAAAATCATCTTCCATGTTTCCCCGATATTTTTGGAAAATAAAAGGGCATTAGCAAATTGTATTTGTACGTTACGTCATATTTTATTTGTTTCCACAGTTTTTACCTTCGATCGTGAAACATACACCAGACAAACCGTCAAGAAAACGGAACTTATTGACATCACAACTAACCAAACAAGCAGCAGCAGATCGATTTGGAATTGCGATATCCTCCTGATACTGATGCATTCTTATTCACCTGTAAATAACTACATCATTGCATACGAAGAATATACATACCTACTTACATAGATACATACATAAATTGTAGAACCAGCACCAGATAGCCGTAGTAGAGGTTAAGTTACTATAATTAGAAGCAGCACTCCCGTTAACCAATCCAATAATATAAAAAAGAACAGCAACATAGATTTTAAGACCGACTAAAAAGCAAGAGGCAAAAGAAAAAAAAACAAACAAATCAAAACACAAACACCAACTGACTAAACACTCACCACATAGAAGGACAACAGAATACTATAAATACGGACATCCTACGAAGTCTGTAGACATCATCGAGAGTGGCATGAGCCATACATCGGGTCATCGAAAATATGATGATAATGAGTGTTGTGGGCCAAGACCACCTGTACCCGGAGAAGAAAGTCGAGTTAGAAAGGTAAAAATCTATTAATTTTTAAAAGTCTTGAATTTGACTAATTTTTTCGATTTCTTAACTTCAGATGACCGAAGGGGTAGGAGAACATTTACGTAATTCACCACCATCCTATTTGAATTGGGCCCGAACACTCAATCATCTACTGGAAGATCGCGATGGTGTGGAATTGTTCAAGAAGTACGTGGAGGAGGAGGCTCCGGCCTACAATGATCATTTGAATTTCTATTTTGCCTGTGAGGGTTTAAAACAACAGACGGATCCTGAAAAGATTAAACAGATTATACAGGCTATATACAGGTAATTAGATACGAGTGATCGGCAAAAGACTCAGTTTTATTATGACCATTATTTTCATTGAAGATTCCTGCGCAAGAGTCAACTGTCTGTATCAGAAGACCTGAGACGCAATATTAAGGCGGGACTTAAAAATGAAATACCTCTCAGTCCAAACATATTCGATGGCATGCAGAAGCATGTCGAAAACACAATACGAGATAATATTTATCCATCATTTTTGTGTTCGGAAATGTATATACTTTACATTCAACAAATGTCTGCTGCTCACGAACGATTCAGCAGTAGTGGTGGTCCCACGGGAGCCGGTAGCTGTAGTACTGGTAGCAGTAGTAGTAGTGGTGCTAGTTGCGGTGGCGGCGGAGCCAGTGGCGGTGCCTGTGCGTTGCCACTTGTGGTTGCTTCCACAAGTACTGGGAAATCGAGCAGTACATTGGGCCAAATCATTAATTTGCCCGCGAGTACTAGTGCCGGCATTGGTGCTCCAACTGGTAGTTGCAGCGCTAGTGGCAGCGTATATGGCCCCTCAACTTCGGCAAGTTCTAGTGGTTCAGTTAGTGCTACAGATACCCTACCTCGCAGCTCAACCTTACCCACCCTGCATGAAGATTCGGAATTGTCACTAAGTGATGACTTTGAGAAACTACGAGTAGAAGGAGGCCGCGTTTCAGCCGATATGCCAATGCGCTTAACACGGGATTTATTATTAGCAACACAAAAAAGAAGACTGGAAATACGACCACCTGGGTAAGTATCTTTTTGCCTAAAATCTCGATTACAATACCACCCTAACTAATTGCATATTGAGCTGTAAATGTAACTAAGAAAATAATATCATATGTTCACCCAAATGGCTAAAAATGTATCCCATACTCGAATAGTAACCTGTTGTTGTCCAGTCAGCTATCCCTTGATTTGATTAACATATTGTATCATAATTTATATAAGATCATTTTAATTGAGGGGTTTAAGAGAAATTCACTGTTCGCAGCTAAATTTAGGGATTAAAAATTAATATTTACAATCTATTGAGATTTGCTACTTAACGGCAATTGTTTATGAACTCACTTATATATAAATATGAGGGAATTGGCCTAAACAATTCTTATCAGTTGTGATTTCAATTACTTAATTTAGAACAAATTAATTTATAAGGTAGTCAGTAAGGTCAGATAAGGCCTTCGTCGATAGTAAAAAATTTAAATTACAAATTCGAAAAGAAATTGATACAAAAAATATATCAGAGTATAATCTGTTATTTTTTCCCGCAACAAATACCTTTTCTAAACGCTGACTACACCATAACCTGTTTCGACATAAGTATTATGAAATGCTTGAACTTCAATTGTAACAATTGTATTACTGTAACAACAGTAATTGTATTACTGTAACAACAGCAAATGTAAAAAGTATTCAATTAAACAGAAACAGTTCGCAAATCGAAAATGAGTACAATTTCAGATTTCTACAGCTTAATGTTAGCATTGTTACAATTTTATTGTTTGCCAGGTTCAAATTTAGTCAGTTCATAGCAATATTTGTTTATATTTTTAGTTAGATAATTTTACTTTACGTAGATATAATTATTTTTCCTAATTTGTATTTAATAAATGATTTTTATAATTTATTTTGTTTTCTTTTTCTTTTATTTTCGTTTCATTTATGTATCTCTACACACGTGTAAACAATACCAAAATCCATCCAAAAAACCATCATCCAATTACAACTGTAACTGCTACCGTTAAAAATGCACAACCCACTCACTTACACTCATAAATAATATACAACACCTCAACCTGAAACATATCCTGCAATCGTAACTTCAACGAATAATAAAAATACTTGTTGTGTGCTTTTCGTTGTTATTGTTGTTTTTTATTATTATATTATGATTCTTATTATTTATTTATTAATTTTCTATGATTTTAATTTATATAAATTGAATTAATTGCATGGACTGATCTACAACTTTTTACATCAACTCAAAACTCGTTGCTCCCTCCATAAACAATTTATTGTTGTTCAAATAATGTAAACTTGTGCATGTGAGTGTAGTGCTCATGGTTATGTTTATACGGGGAAGACAAATACCTCCTACGTACCGAATTCACGGGTAGACTCAGAAAGAGCAAGTGTCAGTTCGGGGGGTAGAACTGATTCTGATACCATGTCTCTTTCAAGCTGTTCGATGTAAGTAATAACTGGACATCATATTATTAAAGATCACTGTGTATATATATAACGCAGACAACTACTTGTACAAGGAATTATTTCAACTTCTTATTAAAAAAAATATTCCTCACGATTCCTCTTCTAGGGATGGACGCCCATACATACAACGAAGACATAGCTCCACAGAAACTAAAGCTATTCGTCAGAGTGCCATGGCAAATAAAGAAACTAATACCTTTCAAGTAGGTTTGATTGAAGGTCGCCACATTTTTCAATTGTTTTATTTTATACATGCCTATATTTCAGGTTATACCACGTACTCAGCGTCTTCACTCAAATGAACATCGACCATTGAAGGAATCCGAGTTGATAGCGTTACTAATACCCAAACTAGAAGAAGTCAAACGGAAACAAGACCTAGAAGATAGAGCCCGAATAGAGGTACTTGTTTTGTATATAAATGTTTAAAAAAGAAAACATAATATTTGAATATCTTTCTCATGATTAGCATTTTCCTGATGAATCTATGCCGACCAATGAACGACTTGCCAGTGATCGTGCTTTTGCACAAGCCATACGAGAGAAATTTGCCATTGACGAGGACAATGATCAGGATATACTCGATCAGCATGTTTCACGCGTTTGGAAAGATCAAACGCCACATCGCTCACCTGGTACAATGTCACCCTGCCCACCTTTACCATCTAGAAGGCGTACAATAACTCATGACTCGGGCATGTTAAGTGATGGCGCCATGAGTATAAGTAAGTTAATCATAAATACTAATATCTAGAATGTCGTTCGACATCAATGCGATATGCCCAAATCTGTTGTAATTAGTTGGATGTTCTGCCCATCGTGAACACAGCAATCAATACATTTTCGTCTGACACTAACAATTCTTTCAATAATCACGTTGAATTACAAATCGACCGGGCTTAATAAGCTATTACAGTTAAGTACGCTAATAGCGACCAAGTTAATTTGTTCGTTATATCCAAGGGAAGGCAAAATAAAAGCTTAGCAGGAAAAATATATTTAGTTCTATTAATGATTAAACAATTAAATTTATATAATATAGTACTTCATTAGATGTGGGACATCATTTATGAAAACTGCATAAAAACAGACATTTTTGTAAAGATTGCCAGTTTTAGTCTAAAAATTAACTTCTATTGAGTATTGTCATCGTTAAGTATTAAGTATATTTGTAGCGAGTTCGTTATAACTACATTAATAGAAATGAAAACAAAAATTTGGTACCGACAAAATAGTTCGTTATAAAAGAAGTTCGTTATAAGAGTAAATATTTTTATGAAAAATATGTCTTAAAACTTCGGGACCTAGAAATGTCTTCGCAATAGATAAAGTTCGTTACGACCGGTGTTTTTTATAATCGGTTTTCGTTACAAACGTACTCGACTATATTATGATTGCAGAATTTACTGGCAATAGATAATTTAGTTACAATGTACCCAAAATCTATACGAATCCACGCCCATGCACCAATAATCTTGGAAATATGTGACATTCCATAAAGGTTATTTTATTAAATATATGTATATCAGGCGTAATTCAGCATAAGAAATCCATTTGAATTCTCTCTTTTTGCCACAATTAAATATATTGAATGTTTTCAGGTGGTCATTCAATGAAACACTCGAAGTCAATGCCGGACCATAGTTCCTCTACAAGGAAGCTTACAAATAAATGGCCTTCCATGAATACAGATAGCGGCATAAGTTTATTCTCAGCTGATACTCTAATGAAGTACAAAGATAACAGGTAACTTATTTGTGGAAATGTGTGGTAATAAAATATATTAATTTGCCATTTCCCATTTGTAAATTTAGTTCACGTTCTGGCACGAGTACAGCCTCTAAACTGGAAGAGGCCAAAAGAAGACTGGAAGATGAGACTAGACGGTCTCGTCGCTATACCCAACAGCAGCATATGTTGCCTCCCATGCAACAGCAACAATCAGCCTCATTTAGTAATAGCAGCAGTGGCAGTAGTAGTTTACACCATCAATCGCTCCCGCCTCCATTACCCGCAAAACCACAAGAGACCACAACAGTTGTGTTTTCATTTTGTGATGAAGAATATCCTTATAGAACTAAAATACCCGGTACACAACCCACACTAAAGCAATTTAAGGACTATTTACCCAAAAAGGGCAATTTTAGGTAAGTTTATTCGCATATTGTTCATTGGGACCAAGTTTTAACTATTTTTATTTTCAATACAGATTTTTCTTTAAAACACATTGTGAAGATCCTGACAGTCCAGTGATTCAAGAAGAAATTGTCAATGACAACGATATCCTTCCCTTATTTGAGGGCAAAGTGATGGGTCTGGTTAAACCATCCGATTAATAGTAGAGTAAGTTTTAATTTTTATACATTTATATTGTATGATGTAAACAGAACGATTACAAAAACAATAATGGCAAAAATAAGAAAAAAACAACACACACAAAAATATATATAAAAATAACAAAATAATGTCAAAAATAAACAAAAAGAAAAAAATGCAAACAAAATAAAAACAAACTATACATATATCGTAAACAACCAACAAACAAAAACCATACAAAACGCTAAAATAACAAACAAAAAAAAGAATACATTTATTTTATCATTTCACGAGGCAAAAAATATATGCCAACATATTTTTGTATTAGTAGACTAAATTTCTGTTCAATTTATGTTTACGAAATAACAACCGAGAACGTCAACAAAACAAAAAAACAATATTTGCTATTTCATAGAAATAAAGCAATATTATTCTCAATTATAATTAATAATTATGTGTACACGCACACATTTTACTTATTTGCTAGTTAAAAGAAAAAAAACAACATGTATTTTTTTTAATTCATTTTATGTACAAAATACGATACAAATGCGTTCTGTATTTATTTTTTTTAGTTATGTGATAGGTTCAACAATAATTTATTGCAAATGAGTAAAATGTTTCATTGATGCACATTGAATTGCTCAATGGCAAAGGAATTCAAACAAACGTTTTGCTGTTTTTCACTGCCTTATGAATTAATTTACAAACAATACTTGAAAGTCGTTATTTTTCCATTGAGTTTGTATCAAATTGTGATTTATTTAGACCGACTGTAATGTTACAAACACAAACACCAAAAACGCCTAGCATTGCGATTATCTCTACTACCAACAATTTATAGTTGTCATAACTGTAATCGAGTTTTTTCCTTTACAAAGTAGTATGACAAATTTACAATTTCAAGCAACATTGAGAACTTCTATTGAGCGATTTTTTTTTTATTTCAATTATTCCCATATGTTATTAGAAGCTCATTGCCCATATTTGCATCTTTCAAATAGTTATAAAAATTCTCCCTATCGTTATATATTGAATCTCATTTATTATGGTTAAAAACCACAATAAAACAATGTTAATAAATAAAATAATATTTATGAAAAGACAAATACCAAACAATTCTAAAAGCTTAAGTAATAAATCATAACTATGAATTGCCTCACGCGCCCATGCCTTGACATAGATAGAAAAAAAGTCATTCAATTTTGGGTTTAAACCTCTGATCTTGAAATGTCATGTCATGATTTTTGCAGTGAGGTTCTGCAATGTGAAATCGCTTACGAAATCACATATCCATGTTATATTTTCCTTCTACTAGCAATTCCGGCGTTGTGCTCTCTCTCCCTCCCTGAAACAATCCTCGAACCCCATAACAAGAAATCAATTGGTCCGAATGAATAGTGCCACTTTATAGTTCAACCAATGTCTTATTTGTGACAGTAGTTTCCATAAAATAGCTTTCAACATTTTAATTTAATCGTTTTGAATATGTATTTAAATTATTTACTATGTAAATAAAAAATAATTAGTTGAATGTTGTCGACAACTTTAAATAAAAAAAAAAACATTTATAATCTGTTAAATTCCATATACATATGGATGGATTTTTCTTAGCAAACTGGGCTTTTGTAACAAAATTTTCAAGTACAAATTCTAATATCCAACTCGAACCAATGTGACAAAATTACAAATATGAAATAATTTCTTAAATAAGGCAGTCGAAATTTAGCATTGTTAAACATTTTAAAATTCTTTATTACATAATATTTTTTTTTAATTCTAAAATTTATATATGTATTATGGCCTATTAACAAAATGAACTACTACTACTATGTACTATTGTAATTTAAATATAATGTACATGAAAAAGCCTCTTGGAAGCAAATAGGGATTTTTTATACATACTTAGCAACGAAAACAACATCAATGCGTTGGCTAATTCATAGCTGTAATTGTATTTATATATAATTTTTAAAGAATCTATTTATTTTTGTATTTCATTTTCCATTTAAGTGCTACTTTGTGTATTTAATTAACATTAGCTTAAGTAATACAATTAAGTTTTTAAAACTCTCGTGATTATGCTGATGATGGTTTTCTCTAGAACGGACTGCCTGCAATAATATATACACACACATACATATATCTAAATATATGTATATTTTCACATAGTTTTTTGAGTGTGATTTAATTTTACTTCCTTTTGCAGTTATGCAAGTCAATTTCTTATGCCGTCTGCAAAATTCATTTATAATCAAAAGAAAGATACCTTGTTTTTGTTTAATTCCTCCAATTAGTTTTTAATTTGAATTACTTTTTCGTTTGCTGCCGCATAGAAACGTATTACGTTCCATAATACCACTCCTTATTTCCTTGTATTTATAGACATACATTTAGTTTGTGATGTAGTATTCAATAGTTTGTCCCTAAAATACGAAACAACAAAACCATAAAATCGATTAATATTAACATTCAGTTGTGTTCTACTTTTCTGCAATACTCATTCTCTTAAACGACAACAACAATCCATCACAATGAAACAAAGAAAACAAACAAATTATACAAATATTTTTAATAGGAAATCACACCCAACAAAAAGGACGACACGGGCCGGACCAACAAGTGTACATACATGTGATAGGGATAAAACTTGACTATGTTCTCACTATATAGCGGCATATTGGTCTGGTGTGTTCAATCATTAATTAACTATTTCTGCTACTTATTACGATTAATGAATTAACATTTTAATTGTATTATCATTATAATTATGATTATTTATAAATTTACACTTGCAACAACAACACAAACATATTTTTTACGTAATGATATTTTTTTAAGAGAATTTGCCATCTTAACGTTTATAATAACATTACATTTACAAGTAAAATGAAATAATTTGATTTCAAAATAATAAAAAATCAAAACAATTTCAAGAATGAAAAAGAAAATAGATAAAAACATAAACCTGTTCGTTTTTCATATTGTATTTGGTAAGTACACCCTTAATGTCATAATATTCATATAATGTAGTGTTAACTTTAATATTCCGAGAGTGTTTAGAGTGGAAATTTATGATTCTCCCTTGGTACCAATCTAGTCTTAGTAATTGTTCTTCTCTGTGTATTATTGAGTCAAGATTTAGGAACTTATTTTTGGTTTAACTTTCTATTGTGAATTTTATTGGTTTGTTGTATTCGTTCAGTGAGAATAAAAAGAGCATCTAAGAAAAAAATCTTAGCGCAATAATTTTTATTAAAAATTTTCTACATTTTCTTCAGGCGAAAAAGCAAGTTATATTTTTCTGATGCCGTGGTTCACACGGAGTCGATAAAAATTTTGCGAGATAAATCAGATTTAGCACACGCCTTTACACCAAAGGAATTAAAACAAAACATCATGATTCGCAACAATATTAATTTCGGATTGATTCATGCAACCGAAAAGTTTATTTAGATGACTACAATTTTATATACAACCATTCCCCAGTCGGTATAGCAATTATATTTAAGAAATCTCTTCAATACAAACGCATTTATATAGATGATATAAACTTTAATCTATTTTTGTTCAAATTGAGGCAAACAACACAACAAAAAACTTACCATCCAAAGCCCTTGGTCCAGACTGCATATTCATGTTCATGTTAAAGAAGCTTGGAGCAATAGGGCTGGGCTATCTGACCAAAGTCCTCGAGTTATCGATGTCACAGTTGGTAATTCCTGACATTTGGAAAGTTGCCCGGATTATTCCAATCCTAAAACCTAATAAATCCGCTACTAATCTGGAATCCTACCGCCCGATTTCTCTTCTGTCTCCAGTAGCCAAGGTTTTAGAGTCTCTATTGCTTCCGTCCCTGAAACAGCATTTCGTTCTTGCTCCCCACCAACACGGTTTCAGGGAATCATATAGCACAACTACGGCTTTGCAAGAAATTACTTCCAAGATTGCGAATGGCCTCAATCAGCGACGACCACCTGAACGGACCATTGTGGCAGCTCTAGATCTGTACAAGGCGTTTCATAGGTCGATCATTCCGAACTGATTTCCGATATCACAAATTCCACACTTAATGGGCGGCAGGCCTTCGTTGAGTTCCGTGGCCAAAAATCCAAATATCGCGAGATCAAAATGGGAGTACCGCAAGGCGGTGTCCTTTCCCCCATTTTGTTCAACATGTATCTTGCGAAACTCCCCATTCCTCCACCAAATGTTTCAGTGGTGTCGTACGCCGATGACTGTACGATTATTTCGTCCGGCGTTAACATTGACGACGTAAGTGCAAGAATTTCCAACTATCTAGCCACCATCACCAACTTCTTCCGGGAGCGCAATCTAAAATTATCCACTGCAAAGTCTACCGTGTCACTCTTCACTTCCTGGACGCGAGAAGTCAATCTAGAACTTGACATTTCCGTTTAAGGTAGGCGCATCCCCACCGTCCATAATCCGAAAATCCTTGGGGTGGTCTTCGATAGTCTCCTTCATTTCTCCTCGCATTCCAATTACATCAACCAGAAAGTGAACGCTAGGAATAAAGTTCTGAAAGCTTTGGCTGGCACCTCCTGGGACAAGGATAAAGAAACGTTGGTAACGACTTATAAGGCTATAGGTCGTTCCATCCTGAATTATTCTGCCCCAGTCTGGACTTCTTTCCTTAGCAACACACAATGGAGATCATTGCAAACATCGCAAAATAATGCACTCCGAATTGCAAGCGGGTGTGTCCAGATGACGAGCGTCGATCACCTACATGAGGAGGCCAGGCTGGCATGCTACCTTGTAGCTGGCATGCTACCTGCCGTGTCATCCTAACCATCACACTGTGATGGCAGATCCACCTCCGCGACTCATCCGCCAGGACTTCAGGCGCCATCGTGATGGCATCCAAGACGTCATTCCATCGGACGTCAACAGATTGTCGATAGCGAACGCGATGAAATCCGTGCATCAACTGGCGGTCTCCGATGCCATAAATGGCAACAGATGCAATAAAGTCCTACAACAACATCCTCCTGCAATTTCGGAGAGAGAGGCTTCTTC